TTCCTAAACGTCGAACTCATGCTTTCTGTAAACCCCATGAGTCTTGGGAAAATCCGACCCTAATGGTGACCAGGAACGCCCATTCTCTCCAGCCAGCTGGAGAAGGTGTTGGCTGTTACTGTAAGCATGCCCATGAATGGAGGGAGGTAACGTCACACACCCGGGCCTTCCCAAGATGGCTGTCTGTCCCCGCAGCTCTCTGGTCAACCCCGCTGTGCGTCTCCTTCTCTTACAGTATTACTTACTTCCCCTTTCTCTGCCAACAGATGTGGCTCTTTTCATTTGGCTCTTTTATGCTCACGATTCCTTCTTGCCTATAACTTCAGTTTCCTACTGACTGTGGCTTGCTCTGCCCTTGCTGCCCCTTCTACCTTCATGCCCCCCCAGGAGGGCTTCCAGTCTCTTTTATTATGTCCTTAGGTCCACCCTTCACCCCCCAGAACTAAAGTTAATGCCATCATGTACCTCCCAAATCAAACCCAAACTCTTAACTGTGGCAGAGCTGGCCACTCAAGTCTTTCCAACCTGCCTTTCTCGTCCCACCAATTGCCTTCCTCCTCATGACCCCACGTGGCAGATGTCCCCAAGTTACTCTGAGCTATGCAGCTTCTCTTCTGCTCATGGGCTTCTGTCTACATCTAAATTCTCTATGTGCTTCAGAGACCAGCTCAGGACCTGCATTCGTTCCCTAGGGCTGCCGCAGCAAAGTACCACAGTACCACAACCTGGGTGGTTCCGAGACATGCATTCTCTCACAGTTCTGGAGGCCTGAAATCTGAAGTCAAGGTGTCAGCAGGGCTGTGCTCCTTCCAAAGGCTCTAGGAGAGAGTCTTTCCTTGCCTCTTCTGGTTTCTGGTGGCTCCCGGCATCCCTTGGCTTGTGGCTTCAGGGCTCCAATCTCTGTCTCTATCTTCATGTAGCTCCCCCCGTCCCAGTGTGTTTGTCTCCTTTCCCCTTCCATCTCTTATTAAGGACCCCTGTTATTGGATCAGGTAATCCAAGATGTAACCTAGGATGATATCACTCCGAGATCTTTAATTTAATGACATCTGCAAAGACCCTTTGGCCAAAGAGGTCATGTTCATAGGTTCTGGGGATTAGGAGGTGGACATATCTTTTGGGAGGAGCACCATTTAACCCACTATAATCCCTAGTTCCTTTTTGAAGACTGCCCCCTGGTCAAAAATGACTTCTTTCTCCTCTGGGCTCCCATGCCCTTTATTCAAGTCTTTTAAGGCACTTAAAATTTATTTTGATTTTTTAGAAGACTTTATTTATTTGAGAAAGAGAGGGAGAGCACAAGTGGAGGGGAGAGGGGCAGAAGGAGAGGAAGAAGCAGACTCCCTGCTGCACAGGGAGCCTGATACAGGGCTTGAGCTCCTGGGATCATGACCTGAGCCAAAGGCAGACACTTAACTGACTGAGCCACCCAGGCGCTCTCTGCCAAAAAAAATTTTTTTTTAAAGATTTTATTTATTTATTTATTTAGAGAGCAGGGGAAGAGGCAGAGGGAGAGGGAGAGAGAAAATCTCAAGCAGACTCCACGCTGAGCATGGAGCCCAACACGGGGCTCGATCTTAGAACCCTGAGATCATGACCTGAGCTGAAACCAAGAGTCAGACGCTTAACTGGCTGAGCCGCCCAGGTGCCCCAAGGCACTCTTGATGTTCTCTTGTGCAGCATAGACATATTGCCACCAGTGGTAAGAGTGTGGGTTGCAGAGTTAGATGTCCAGGCTTCAAATCCCAGCCCTGCCACTTGCCAGCTGAATGACACTGGTCAAACCACGTCGCTTTTCTGGCTGGGGCCAGGATACACCGAGGTGCTTAGGGCACACCATGTAAGGAGCTACTCACTCTCAGGGTCCAGCAGGTGTAGGGTCAGCCCTCTCACCACCTTGACAGGGACGTTTCTATGAGCTTCCTTAAATTTCATGCCTCTCTTGCCTTACACTAGTCCCTGCCCTGCCTCCTGCCCTGGTTTTTTAATCTGTGAAATAGGGACAGTGACCTCCCTGGTAGAGAAAGTGTAGGGACTCAATAACTAGCACAAGTAAGAGACTTAGCACAGTGCCTGGCGAGCTGGTCTTCATGTCTAATTCATTTTTATAGTCCTAGTAACTTTAAACACATTACATCGAAAATAGTATGTAATCAATTATGTTTAAGTGAATTAATAGCTGCTAAGTTTGAGGCGTGTGGTGATGAGTCTGTAATCAGGAAAACAGCTCCAACTTCGAGTCCCTGGATCAAGAGTTCCTGAGCTGGTTCATTTCCTGGTTCACGTGAGCGCTGAGAAGGTTCAGGTGAGGAGTTTTGGACAGAAGGAGTAGAGCCCAAACTTCACAAAATTGCTGAGGTTGGTTTTCAAATTAGAACCATGAAGGAAAAGGCTCCAAAAGTGGGATGCATGCACGCTGGAAGGATTAGCTCGCGTCTGGGTAGCAGCAGCTCAAATGTGCAAAGTGGCTTAGGTTCATGCAAGCTGGTCACGTCGGGAACGGATGGACCCCCTCTCCGTTAGGCCCTTGCCAGTTCCGTGGGAAGGAGATTCTTTCCTGGAACACGGAGACTATCCTGCATCTTGCCTGGAACTCCATGAAACTGTTGGCAGCATCTGGCTCAGCTGGGTGCATCCCGAAACACCACATTTATTTGATATCGGAATTGATATTCCTCTTTTACATTGTGGTTGGGACTCATTAACTCTCAATAAGGACCTACGTTGAAGGAGGAGTTTCCTCCCTTTCTTGCGAAAAAAAAAATGTTTCCTTGGACAGGACATAGCTCCTGTAACTGATTTGCTCTCCTGGCACCCGGCAGCATGTGGTGGGGTGCCCCGGGGCTGGTAAGAAAGGGGACAGACTCAAGAATTCCTGGGTGGGAAGGCTTTTTCCCTGCGCTTACCACAATTGCTAAAACACTAAGTTTAATAGCCCAAGACTGGTCTATATTTGCGTGGAAACCGTGTTTGTGTGGATTTTTTTTTTTTTTAATTTCAAGATGGCCATAATAAGAGCCAGACTGTTGATGCGTCTAACGATTAGAAGCAGCTCCTAAATTTCCCACACAATCATGGTGGGTTCAATTCTTAGATTTTATTCGAAAAGTTCAAAATGCGTGGTGTTTTTATCTAGCGACCTCACTAAAGCACTCAGATCCGCTAGTGCCAGACACAAGCGTTACGTTTGCGGGTGCCCAGTGCAAGGATCGTCCTTATAACCAGCCATGGAATTTACGTAAAGCAGTCTGGAGGGGTGTCGGGAAGGTTCATTTCAGTAACTGCTCTATTTATGTCCACAGTATCGCTATTAAATTGGCAAGTATGAAGCAGCCTTGAGTGTGGCCGAGTGTATGCAGTCATCATTCCTGGAGGAGCTGTGTGCTTGGAAACGGGAGCGTAAAGAGGGTTCTTGGCTTCCAGGAATTTGGCTCAGGGCTTCCATCCATTTGAACCGTGTCCACCGTTACACCTGCTCCTTTTGGAGCCAAACCTGCACATTATCATCATTACTCTTCGATAGCACTGAAATTGCAATAATCTATGAGATCTGTCCTTTCCTGTTCTTTCTCTGCCACAACACAGAATTTCCAGGAGCTTGTGGGGGTGGGATGGGGGTGTTGAAAAATACATTCTGGGTCACCGCTTGAGAGGTTTTTATTGTATATTTTCCCCAAGCGATGCTCGTAGTCAAAGTACGATGGGTATAGAATGAGCAAACACTTAAACTGAAAACAATCAGATGGGAAAGTCCTCTGCTTTAGTGAGAGGTCACTAGTACTTATTTCTGAAGCTATTATCAACTTGGGCTGTGGGATTGGAGGGGCTCTTCCAATACAGTAGTGACACAAAAGAATCACTGCTTTTTTTTTTTTTTAAGATTTTATTTATTGATTTGAGAGAGAGAGAGATAGCGAGAGAGAGCACGAGTGGGGAGGAGACCCTGACATGGGGCTCGATCCCAGGACCCTGGGATCATGACCTGAGCCGAAGGTAGATGCTTAACCAACTGGGCAACCCAGGCGCCCCTGAACCACTGCTTTCAAGAGAAACCCGGGCACCAATAACAAACTCATTGCTTCCATCTGTATCTTCTATAAACAACAAGATCCTAATGTAAATATCAAGACATGGCTCCACTAATCCCATAGTATTCTCGTTTGCCATGAATCATGAAGTGTCACCTTTTCAACTCCTGAACGCCCAAGGAGCAGGAAAGAAACTACACAGCAAGGGTAAAGGAATCTAGATCAGGGATTGGCCAACTACAGTCCTAGGGCTGACCACCTGTTTTTGTAAATAAAATTTTACCGGCATACAGCCATGCTCATTCATTTACACATTAGCTATGTTTGCTTTCATGCTAGAGTGACAGAGTTGAGTAGCTGCGACAGGCAACGTTGGCCAACAAACCCAAAAATGTTTACTCTCTGCGTCTTTACAGGAAAATTTTGCAGACCCCTCGTCTAGACAAATAGTCAAATGAGTCAAGTTGTTGGCTACAGGTCCCCAGTTCACAATGCCAAGAGAAGGACTGGGTTGGCTTTGGTTGTTGTCATGCACTTTGTAATTTAAAAAACCTTATGAGCCAGTACAACTAAAACTCCTACTCACCTTGCTTTGAAGAAAGAGTACGGAAAGTAAAATTAGGTCTCAGTATATTTTACATGTTGCCTGGACTTCTAAAGCATTGCTGGATTGCTTAAATGTGCATAAGTCAATGTCACTTCTCAAAACTTTTAAAAGAGGCAAATGTTGGCAACTTCTAAAGTACTGGCATCATGCTTGTGTCTGTACCAAATTCAACAATGCTCAAAACCACGTGCTGTAGCTATAAATGTAGTCCTACTTCAAGTGAAACTCTTTAGTCTAAATATTTTCAGTCTTTGAAACCGGTTTTTAAGAGTCATCAGAAATCTGTAGTTTAAGACACCAGACACATTTCTTAGCTGAGCCTTCCAGTGCCAACATGTTGGACCAATTCAGTAAAACATGCCATAAATTATATGACTGTTTTATTTGAATTAGGGGATACTTTCCACAATAGCAGGAATTCTTACTGGGAGTTCAAAAGCCAGACACAGGCTCTAGGTTATTATTCATACACTGGTGATGGATTCGAATCTTGCCTTTGTGGCCAGGTTTGGCCAGGAGTATAGGTTACGACAAAGAACAAAGCTAAAAGACCCAAAGCAGCTAAGATTGCAGTCTCAATAGCTCTGAGTTATACCACCTTTACAAATGCAAGACAACTGGCTGGAACAACCTTGGAATGACATGTCAGAAGTGACCGGAAGCTTATGGAATATCATTCAGGATAGGGCTTCTTACCTGATGTTGCTTACAATGAAGGCTAGCTCTCTTCTTGTCATTTAAATATGTTAGTAGATCATTAATAACATATGTGATTATGGACTCTATCTGCAAATGAATCTTAGTAGATATGTGACTAGTCGCAGCAGAAAAGCCATTCAGGTCCAGGAGCACATAACCTTCCTCTCTAGGCTCAGGTTGGGTCACCTGCTATGTTTACAGATTTAAATGGCTAAAATCCAATTCTCTACTCACAGCTCTACTCTTGCCTAGAAGAATTTATAAAGCTTGAGATAATAACTTGGGGGAGGAAATGGTGTGCTAGTGAAAATAACACTAAGAATTTAAATACAATTTTTGAGACTTGCGTCTACAGTTAAAACATGTAACAAATCCACTAGGTAAGTCATGAGAATGATACGAATACCAGCATAGGGTATGAAGTTTTCAGTTTCAACTCAAGTATAATCGGGTCACATAGCTGAAGAAAATGTCCATCATTCTATAGTTTTTGAAAAATTGGTCTTAATTCTTAAATTGCTTTCTTTATCTGAAAACGTTCACCAGCCAAGGTATACACCATCACAGAATGTCACTTACAGACTCTCATTTTAAAGATACCCTTAATTTTCCAAAGGACAGTTAGAATAGGGCTCATTTTCAGAAAGAAAAAGATGATTCACTGTTCTAACTCAGGACTGGAAAGGTGATATCCTTATGGGGGAGGCTCATAAAAGACATCGTAGGAGAAATGACTGCTCTCAAACTTTTGGTCCAGGAGTGAGGTTGGGGGGTGAACACGTCTCTCTGAAACAAAGCAGCTGACGCTCGAAGTTGTGTGGGAAGGGCGGCCTGTGTGTTCTGTGGCCAAATCGTGAATGCACATTTTTGTGTGACAGTCCTGCTTGGGGAGCCAGGCTCTCATTAAGTTCTAGCCGGTTCGATGTTCACGAGGGGGACGTCCAGGGTATGGGGAACACTTCAAATTACATTTCGTGAGGACACGAGACTGTCAAAGCTTAGGAAGGCCCTGCTGTTAAAGGTCCGTGGAATGCTCATCAGCACAAACTAGCTGCGGACACAAAGGGAGGTTTTTTAAAGGTGGTATTGAATAACAGGCCAGCAGCCGTTCCCTCTTGGCGGCTTAGACCTCTTTCTTCTCTCCACTTTGGCTCTTTGTTGAGTCACTTCCATCAGGCAAAGTTCCATAGGATAAGCCATTTGGATCTGGTTGTATTTTGTCCAACATTTGTTTCCCTGTGGAGATAACGATCACAAAAAATCTTTTGCGCTCTTAGAAAAGAATACGTCTTAATAATAATTTCCCCTCTCTTTAGGCCACATTTTATTCCCTTTTTTTTTTTTTTTTTTAGTGCTCTGTGGTCACCCCTCTGCACAGAAGAGATCAACGTCAGGAAGAAAAGGCCCTAGAACTCCGTGTCCCTTGTGGTGACCACACACTCTCCACAGGAGACAATGGTCTCCCCGCCACACAGGGCCTCCTGGGCTGGGCATGGAAACCGGGTTGGATCGGTCAAGAGATGAACATGAAGCATCCACTCATCTCCACACCTTCCATCCCAGTGTCCTTTCTCCTTTTCCGTGTTTGCTCTAATGCACGTAACAACAAAGAAAAGCAGATTTCCATAGCAGCTTCTAAAAGCTGTTGCTGATCCTATGTATGGGGCTTTGTGAACTGAAAAATCGAATCAAATGGTATTTTCTACCCAAGTGCCCCTAACCACACAAGTCATTCATAATGCACAGTTTTGCCACGAATGCCAATCTTTGCCTTGAACGCTCTTAGCTGGTAAGAGGGCCCAAGAGGGAGAGAGAACACGGAATTCCTTGGGTCATATTTTCTCAGTTGTAGGGACAAGGCTTTAATGGCTTTTGCTTCAAAGTCTGGGACCTAACAGAATGGTAGAGGAAGCTGTCAGAACATCATTACTTTGGTCTAGAAACCTGTAGGTTGCCCCAAATGCCTAGCAAAGCTGGACATACTGGGTGGGCAGGGGAGGAGGTGAGGACACAGCCCACCATTTGCTTTGTTCTGAACATCGCTTCTGCTGTCTACATGACGACAGTGAGTTATTTCCCAGTGAGAGCGGAGGACTGCAAAGATGGTGCGTGTGAAGTGGATCGGGATGAAGAACGCAAGGGGGAAGGGGAGAAGCTCTCCCTGTTCAGGCGACGGTGAAGAACGTCCCTTTTGGCCCCACCGTGCACAGGCCACTGCAGTCTTCGCCAGGAATGATGGTCCTTGGCAGCCTAAGCTCCCGTCCTTAGAAGTTCCTTCAAAGGCTCTCCGAGCAGCAGGGGACCCCTGCTATAGCCATTCCCTACTTCTGTCCCCACCCTTTTTCAGTTTAAGGGAACCCAAAAAAAGAAATTGGCAACATCCCCCAAATCAAGAAAATGGGGCCAGTTCTCTTATATCCCTAGTGTTCTGTGCAAAACCGACATTCAAATAAATGATTAGTAACACTGACAGTTAAAACATCACCTCTGGTTTCATGGTTAAATAGACATTTTCTTGGGTTATAAGAATTATGTTTTATATTAATCTTAACACCCCAAATAATACTGGCAACTACTAATTTATAAAGTTTTCCATCATAAATTAAAGAGTATACTGTTTTACCAGGAATATTTCCAAAATCAATGTAAGATTGTGGCAGATGTTCCTTTTCTCGATTTCTTGTGACCAAAAGAACACCAAGGAATGACAGAAAACACCTGTAAGAACAATATTAATAAGGAACACAAGAACACTGAAACAACCCATGGTGTTAAATAACAGCTCCATAAGTCTACATGATGACATAAATTCCACTGGTTTTGTTTTTCCTGTTTCTCATGGTAAGCCTCCTAGAACTTGTCTTAATTGCTGCAGCCAATTATATTTTTCCCCAGAACCAAGACTTGGGCAGCTTCCAATAAATCTCTGCCCCAGGTTTTTACCATCTGGAGGCTAATTCCGGCTCTAAACCCTTTGGGTAGACACTAGGTCTCGTTTTCTACCCATGCATGCCCAGACCCATTATTGGCATGCAACACGAGCAAGTATATGTGTGTGTGTGTGTGTGTGTGTGTGTATATATATATATATATATATATATTTCTTTAATTTTCTAAGAAATCTAATTGTCCTTGGCCATAAGAATAGTCATAGTTTCCAGATCCTAGAAGTTTAGGCTTGCTCAAGTATCTTATGAAATCGAATTTTCAAGCTAGATGGTTTTCTACGCTGAAAATAAGCTGGGCTCAAGTCTGCATAATAATGGTCATGCAGAACACCAGAGCAAGAAACAGCTAAGCATTAATGGAGGGCCAGCTGGAACCAACAGAAGATCTTAGACATTGGTGATGTTCTGTCAAAGTTCTGCTCTCTGCTTGCAAGAATGTCAGCAATGATGCCAACTGAATTTCCAGGCAGGGTTAAAGATGGGCACCCAGACACAGGAAAGGGATACTACCAATCTGATGTTAGTAGGTCCAAAGCTAATAATCTGCCCCAGACTTAACCTTTTATTCTAGAGAATCCTAGAGGCATCTGTGCTTCCTGAGTGAGTTCTAACCTAGAAATTTCCAAGAGCGGATAGGTCTGATTTAGCACAGAAAGGTCATGGAGTAGCTCCAACAGCTGATGGTGGATTTATCTAGACCTTGGCTGGAACTGAAAATCCCCAGGTTCAGAACCCTCAGAGAGAGACCCAAATTACCAAGTCAAAGACACAGAGTCCTGTGGAGGGTGTTATATTGAAAACTATGTTTCTTTTAAGAGCTCAGGAAACTAATGTTTCTTATATTGTCTTCCAATTTTCTGTACCTCAGATATAATGCCAAAAATCCCACATAAAAGTAATAGGATTTCACATTCCTTACTTATGAGACATCTACTCACCCAAATATATATATAAATACAGTTAGAAAAGCTGCGCCAAGGAACTCCTGATAAAATATGATACCTATAACAGGAATAAAAGACAAACTTAATTTCAGGGTAAGAATATATATACTAGCTTTCAAATTATGTTCATGTATTATTTTTTTCTAAGGATAATTACCCTTAAAATGCACATTCAGTAGCTTAAGTTTAAAAATATTTGCATGCCACACTTACATTTTCAGTAATTTCAAAAAGAACATAGATTCATAGACTTTATATAATGCATTATTATTATAAAATCAACACAATTGACATAGCTTTTGGAAATAGAAATTTCTTATCCAGTCTAGGATTTGTCCCACTGGAAGAGGCAAGGAAAAAAACTCTGGTGACATTTTCCACCTACACTTTTAGGCCAGGGGTCAGCAAGCCCGACCTGAGGGTCTGGGTGGACTCTGGGGCCCGGGACACGGCATTCCCTTCAGCACAGCGCCTGGCTGCCCAGGCTGATGCTCTTGGCAATGCCTCGTGCGCGCTCACGCACTGGAGGACGTGGGAACCATTCTCCCCAGCTCTGTTTCTCACTGCCAAGCCCCTCTCCCTTCTCTTCCTTCTGCTCTTCCCTTTTGGGGGAAGGAAAACTTGGATGTGTTATTTATTCTGATAAACTTGTCTTCTCTCCGTGTTGGTCCTGATGGCTTCTTCTTGGTCTAAGGTTCCAAAGCCTTCAGAGAGTTATTTTTTTTTTAAAGGTATCTTTAAATTATGTATTATGTGGAACTGAATTTGTGTTTCTGTGTGTGTGTGTGTGTGTGTGTGTGTGTGTGTGTGTGGTGTTAGCCTGGCTAGTCAGCTGACAAATATTTATGGAGTCCCACGTGCCTGCTGCGATGCGAGGTGCCGTGGCTACCATGATGGACAAGCCAGGGTCCTGTACCCAAGGAGCTCTCTCAGAAGCCCATCTCCTCACCTAGAGAATAAACCTCGTTCAGGCAGAAGCCACGTCCAGTTCTAATAAATATTTGTCGAGTGGATAAACAATTTGAGAGCATTCTTCCATGTTATTGCATACTTCCTTGTACTCATTTTAATGTTTCCATGTTATTCTAAGCAGATGTACCATAATATTCATTTCTCTAAGGGCATTTTAAGCAGTTTTGAAATTTTTTTGCTTTAGTCAAGTAGCAATAAACGTCTTTGTACATATTTCTTTCTTTTCTCAGTATTTTAGGATTTTTCTTGTTAGTGCTCCTTAAAGCAGAATTTCTTTTGTAAAGAGTAGAAACATCTTTTTAAAAATTTGTAGTAAAGGGACGCCTGGGTGGCTCAGTTGTTAAGCATCTGCCTTCAGCTCAGGTCATGATCTCAGGGTCCTGGGATCGAGTCCCGCATAGGGCTCCCTACTCAGCGGGGAGCCTGCTTCTCCCTCTCCCTCTGATCCTCCTCCCTGCTTGTGCTCTCTCTGACAAATAAATAAATAAAATCTTTAAAAAAATTTGTAGTAAAATACAAATAACCTAAAGTTTACCATCATAACCATGTTTAAGTTTGCAGTTGTTGTGTGAAGTATATTCACACTGTTGAGCAACTAATCTCCAGACCTTTCTCACTTGGCCACACTGGAAGTCCATACCCATTAAAGGACAGCTCCCCATTTGCCCCTCCTCCAGCCTCTGGCAATCACCACTTTGCTGCCCATTTCTGTAAGTCTGACTATGCCAGATACCTCATATAGGTGCAAACATACAGCATTGGTCTTTTTATGACTGGCTTATGTCACTCAGCATAATGTCCTCAAGGTTCATCCATGTTGTCGCATGGGTTAGAATTTCCTTCCTTTTTAAGGCTGAATAATATTACATTGTATGACATGCCACATTTTCACTTTCTACTCATCTATCAATGGACATCTGAATTGCTTCCACCTTTTGGCTATTGTGAATAATGCTGTTATCACCCAGGCATACAGGTATCTCTTCGTGTCCTTGCTTTTGATTCTTTCAGATGTGTGCCCAGAAGTGGAATTGCTGGACTATATGGTAATTCTATGTTTAATGTTTGGAGGAACTGCCATAGTGTTTTCCATAGTGGCTACTCCATTTTACACGCCCGCCAACAGTGTGTAGAATTCAAATTTTTCCACATCCTCAGCAATACTTGTTAATTTTGTTGTTGTTGTTGTTTTGTTTTGTTTTTGCTAGTAGCCATCCTAATGGGTATAAGGTGGTATCTCCTCATGGTTTTGACTTAAATTTCCCTAAGGATTAGTGATGTTGAGCATCGTCTCATGTGCTTATTGGTCATTTGTACATCTTCTCTGAGACGTGCCTATTCAAGGCCTTTGCCCAGCTTTAGACTGGGTTATTTTTGTTGTTGTTGTTGTTGTTGAGCTGTAGGATCAGAGACTAGAAACATTTTTCAGGCTCTCGATAAAGATTATGAAACTGAGCCCTAGGAGGGCGGTCCATGCCACCCAACTCCATGAGAGCTCCTCCGGCCTCAGTTATTGCAACAAAAAGAACTAAACAGAAACCTTACTAGTTTCTAGGCAAAATATGTTATTGCGTTTTAATCTTAAGCTAGACTTTTTGATGGGGGCAAAAAGGGAAAGTTAGTCAAGAAGCTTCACCTCCATTCCACACTTCAGCAACAGCAAATGAATGATCGCTCCCAGAAAGCTCCAGCCTCCCTGACTCATCAATTACTTGGTGTGTTGAGTATTGAGATTCCAGCCCTGTTGGTCCTCCTACAAAATGTTCTTTTCAAGGGAACTACCTTTTTTTTTTATACATCTTTACAACATTAATATTAACTATTAGGACGTATGTCATGCCTGCAACTCTTTTTGGCCCTATTAATTTTTTTTTCTAGTAATTCTAGGGCACACAAATGTGCAGTCTTTTCTTACTTTCTTTTGTCAACAAGCATAAAATGCTAAAAAAAAAATCAGATGTCTTGGTATATGATCTTTCTCTTTAAAAGTAAGGTTCAATTTTGGGAAATAAAAAAAATGCATTGATTACTCTTAAAAACTGCCCACTAGCAGTCACATTGTTTGCCATGAAATAAGAAAGATGTGCCAATTAGGAAACATAATCCTTAATTGCTTCCAAAATGCATAAATTTTGCTTTGGGAAATGAACTTCCAATATGAGAAGGTAGTAAATATATACAATAAGCCAGTAAACTAGGCCACACCAGTACTAAACTTAGGAGTGAGATACTGGAATCTACTGTATTTTGATTTGGATCAAGTTTCAAATTTGTGCTTTTTTAAGAACACTTTTGTGTCTCATATATATATAATTGTCAGTAAATACCAAAGAACTATAAGAGCAGAAAAATAGAGGTCAGAGCAGCAAGGATAGTGGTTTCTATTCTCATCTGCTTGGCCTTCCCTGGAACACTGGGTTCAGTTTCGGATTCAATTTTGGATCCCTCTGTCTGATCAAGGCAGTGAGGGACAGGGAGGGAAGAGTTCATGGAAATAGGGATGTTTGGTCCAGAGAGAAGATACAAGAGGACCCTTCAGCTGCTTTGATTATCAGAAGGGCTGGCAAGGAGAAGACTCCAGAAAGCAGAACTAAGATGAGAGTCTTGAATTCACAGGGAGGCTAGTTTCAAGGCCAGTATAAGGAAACACTTTCCAATCATTTGAGCTCTCCAAATAATTAGAGTGATCCAAAACAGGACTGCGCTATCTCTGGAGACAGAGAGCCCTGGGGAGCCTTCACACAAAGCAGAATAACCCATCCTAGGGGACGTGATGGAGGAAATTCAGTCCTGGGCGGAGGTGAGGACAATATGACGTGGGCTACACAGTTCCTTATAAACTAGAGATTCCTTGGTTGTCTCATTTACTCTGACAGAAACTTGATTTATGCCTGGTGTGGGGGTAGAATCACCTGAGGATAGAAAGCCAAAGCTCACCTGCAATAACAGCACTGGTCGTAAAGAAAACATGGTTGACCGGCACCACCATCGTCGTAGCGTAGAGTTTCGTGGCTTGATTCAGGAACCTAGAGCAGGAGGCACTTACTGAAGCCCTGGCTTTAAGAGACGCTCAGCAATAAGTTAACAATAACATCAAGAAACGCATGTCCTTAAGCTACAACTACAAAGGGAGAGGAAGTGCAGTAAAAGGGCATTTTCAATCAGCAGTCATTGCTTATATGCATCTGATGTATGAGATCAGATGTCAGGTTTTATGGTCTGTTTAAACCAACAACAGTAACAATGAAAAGCAATTAATCATATTCTGAGGCCACAGAAGTTTGAGTTGGAAGCGATTCAAGCTGCTGGACCAGTATCACACTGGAGCTGATTCATTAGGATAGACCCTAGAATCTGTTAAATAGCATATCTGGGGAATAGTATAGCTATCCATTGACATGCCACGTGCCAAGAAAGAAGATGGAGAAGTGAAGGAATGTTTAGCGTTTGGAAAACAATGCTCAGGACGCCAGCTGCAGAGCACATGTGGGAGCCCAGCGTCTCACTCTGGCCACCAGCGTGGTTCCAGCCCCGCCAAAGACGATGCACTGCCCTGTCACTGACACCAACCGGACAATTTAAAAAAAAAGTGCTTAGGTCCTATTCTAGCACAACTGAAAAAAAATGTTCTGTGGGTAGAGCCCAGGCGTGCCTGAGCGTGTGTGTGTACACACGTGCCCATGTGCACACACTTACGTACATATACGTGTGCGTCTGTGTACATATATGTACGTATCTGTGAACAAACACATATCCTCAGGCGGTTTCACTGGGTGGCCAGTCCTACGGTTCTCGTGCGTTCACCGTCGCTCCAGTGTGGCAGAGGCAGGGACTGGAACAAGGGGGATGGGAAAATGCAGGGTACCTTCAGTTCTACCTGCCACTGAAATCCACAAAGCGGAGTTGAAAGATAACAATGCTCGTCTTGAAACTCCAAAAGATATTCTAGCGGTGCTGACGAACTCAGAAGAAGAAAGGGAGATGAAACAAAGTAGAGAGAGCCAAGCCTGAGAAACACACTCATTCTCATAAGGAAATGACAAGTGAAACAGTGACCAAGCATTGGGGTTCTCCAGTCATTGTCCACATTCCATTTGCAGCAGGGCCCATGTCCGACCCGCGGCTATTAGACTTGACTGCCAGCGCCTGCGGAGGGGAGCGCTCTCTTCCTGAGTGTAGGCTCTGATTTCCCAGCTGACACTGGGATGGTGCTTTTGCACAGCATTTTGGGATAAACAGAAAACTTCCTGGCTGACTAAAGACAGCCTCGCAGGCAAAGGCATAATCACGATGTGAAATGGAGGGGAAGTGACTGGAGCAGATGGAGGTGGGGGGAGAGAAGAACAGAAATTTAAAATGTTCCATGTCACCACCATTAGGCCCCCAGAGAAACATAAAACAATCATTCCGCCATCCCAGGGGTACAAAGAAAATTCTGGCCAATGACGCAAAGTTCTGGGGAAAGGATTTCCCTCCCGGCCAAACGTCTGGTTTTGTCCATCCCTGGGCAATTAATGAGCATGAGCTAAGGATGAAGGTGAAAGGTTCATGTATTTCCTATATTTAGAATGAAATCCTGGATGTGGACCTGCCCCTTTGATTTATTGCTAATGACAACCTGCGTACGATGGATATTAATTACAAGCAGAAGAGCATCAGGAAAGTATCAAAGTGCACTTAGCTAGATTACGGCCATACTTTAGAACTCACAAGACATGAAGGCAATGCTCAGTAAAAAAAAAAAACCAAAAAACCTTATTATTGGACACGAAGGATAAAGCGAGGCATGCTGGCTGAGGATAAGCTGTAGACCTTTCACCCTTAGAAATCAGTTGCACCTCATTTTAATTATCAACAGATGCCAATAAAGATTAATGCTCAGAGAAGCACAGGAATGTTGAAAGATGAGTGAGTATGCAGAAGCTAACTTACTTGACTTGGAAAACACAAGATGCGATCATGATGATAAACATGATATAGAAGATGGGATAAGTTAGTTGCATTTTATCTGTCACAGAAAAAGTGATCATGCCTGAGACTGCTTTTACCGAGATAACAGTCAGCGAGGCTGAAAAAGAAAACAAGAAACACAAATAAAATACATTGTTGAGACAGAATCACAAACAAATATCTCCAGTTTGCACAGTGGCGCCGTCGATAACCCCCGTTATGCTTTCGGAATGCAGGCTCGCATGAGGTGGCGGTAGGATGGGGTGCCAGACAACCAGTAGTTCTCTCGCCCGAAGCCGCGCTGGACTCTGAATTTGCTTAAATCAGCTAAAGATCTGCTGTGCGACAGGGTGCTTTTTATCTTTGTGGCAAGATGCTTATTTTCCAGCCCTAACTGTTGAAAGGATGCCTCAGAGTCTATAATTACTAGGAGATGGGAGAGCAGAAAACAATGTAGGGGGAGAGAAGAAAAGTCAGACAGTCCATGTGACACGAAGGGGAAAATAACTATTAAACTATACTGAAAAAAATTTAAAGCCAAACAGATGAGCAAACCGGAGTGTGGAAGGCAGCTCACTCTGTGAGTTTACTAAGAGTTGTACTGAGTCTCTGTATGAGCTTTTTTGTTCATAAATGTCTAGAAGTTTCATGAAAAATATATATATATATATTTTTTACAAAGACAGTAATAGGAAGCAGGACCACAGCTGAGTATGCATTTCTAAGAGTCAACCATAAATCTAAGGTTTACATAAGCAATGTCTATTCTCTATATGCTAAAGAGGAACATATCCATAGGAGAACAAATTTTTCATAGGTCCCAAATAGCAATGAAGTGACTTGATAAGGTTATAACATGAAAGCAATGAAGCATTTTCTAGAAGCACCATGTCTCTGTAGGAAGAAAATCATGTTTTCTTTCTGTTTTTGTTCATTTAATGTTGCATATAATTCCATAACTTAGCTGAAACCTACAGAAAGTGAAAAAATAATTTTTACATGAAATCAAATAACTATAATCAAAGGCAATGTGAAGGAGAAACATTATCTTTGGTGCTGTTGGTCATAATATATGTGGGCTTTATCCCTTTTAGCTTTTGAATATTTTAGCTTTCATATATTTTATATGTATATATAAAATCAGTTTAAAATAGCAGCTGATGGGGGTGCCTGGGTGGCTCAGATGGTTGGGCGTCTGCCTTCGGCTCGGGTCGTGATTCCGGGGTCCTGGGATCGAGTCCTGCATCGGGCTCCCTGCTCCGTGGGAGGCCTGCTTCTCCCTCTGCCTCTCTCTCTCTCTCTATCTCTCATGAATAAATAATTAAAATCTTTAAAAAAAAAAAATAGCAGCTGATGGCTAACGAGGGAAAGCCTCCCATAATCTCCTTTCCAAAAACTGGAAATATACTTTAATTTGAAGAGTACCACGGCACACTTCCAAATTAGACATTTTCTTTCCATTAAGAGTCATAATTAACGGAGAACAGGTGATAAATTCTAAAAACAAACCCCAAATCTGAACAAAGAGGTCCTTAAAACCAGGCTCCTCTTCATCTCAAAATGTCTTTTGACCTCATCATTTTACATGTTTTCTACAGATTATGACAATAGTCATACCTTAGCTAACCTAGGAATTTTAAATATCTGCAATGATGTGTGTCACTTGATGGTTTAAGTTTGTAAGGTTAGCTCTTAAGGGACCTTGGTTTCCTCCTCAAAATTTTGCTTGCAATTAGAGCACAATGTGGTTATGGTCTTGTGGTCCGAATAGCCAGGTTTCCCAAAGGGATCATTAATGGGAAGGAGTTGAACACACTGTTCCATTAGCCTCACAACCTTCGGATTGCAAAGGCCCTTCAAGGTCATCTAATGCAACTACCATCTGATGTTAAATTATACTTAAACGCAAAACAAAAGCAAAAGTAGACTTTTTTATTAAACAGCTAAACGAACTATCGGCTTGCTATAGTTAATCACTGTATTTTCAAAGCATGTACAATCATCAACTGATTAATCACTCTATTGTAACTCCGCAAGTTACTTCTAGGCTGGTGACAAGTATTTCCATTTTATTTTTGGGTGAGCATGTGGTTAATGAAGACAGGTGAAAATACAAAATTTAACGCAGTATCATTCTAATATATATATATATAAATATAAAGTATTTATGTATCTTCTCTTTTTATATACAGAAAAAAAGTCTAGGAAAAATGCTAGAATAAACTACATCAAGATGCTATCAGTGGTTATCTCTAGGCACTGGGATTATGAATAATCTTTAAACTCATTTTTTTTAAGCTTTATTATAAAAGTTTACATGTTCCTTTAAGAAAATTGGGAAAAATGCAGAAAAGCCTGGAAAGAAAAGTGAAAATCACCTGTAATCTCAACACTCATCCCCAAATCATTTTTAACATTTGGGAATATTTCTTTGTAGCTATTTTTCTGTCTCTTAAGTATGAATATATTGTAACATATGAATCATACAGTATATACTATTTAGGAACCTATTTTCAATTGCCACTAAGTATTTTCTATGCCATTAAATATTCTTCTAAAGCATGATTTTCATCAGCTGGGGAATATGCCTTTGCATCAGTGTATACTTTATCTTGGCAATTCCCTATTTTTGCATATTTAGGTTGCATCTTTTTTTTTTTTTTTTTTGGTATTAAAAATGAGGCTGTGATGAATATTCCTGAACACAAATCTTTGCAACTCTGCCAGTTGCCCTAGGAAAATCACCTAAAGGGGACTTTGTTAACAGCTGCTGTTCTTCTGAAATACACTGGCAAGCCGCCTTCTATAGAGTACCAGTCACACTCCCATAATACTGTACAGCAGTGCTCAGTTACATGGATTTTTATATTTTTCTTGATGAATCTCTTTTCTTAATTCTCAACAGTAGACATTAGAGCAAACCATTTTTATCGGACATAGCTGACCTGTGTTTGAAATCTGGCCTTCTCAGTTCCCTCCTACTTCATCAATTGCTCCTTCCAGAGACTTTCCCAAATTGCCATCAATGTCTCCTTATTAGAGCCATCAATATTTCATTTATTAATTTGGCTTCTCTAATCTGAGCATGCAGAGCAGAGAGAAGGACCTCCTAGCTTTCCAGCTTCCTGATCAGCTGAGCATTCTGCTGGGAGTCTTAAGACTCCTTTAAGAAAGAAGACTGCAAGGGCACCTGGGTGGCTCAGTCATTAAGCGTCTGCCTTCAGTTCAGGTCATGATCTCAGGGTCCTGGGATCGAGCCCCGTGTCGGGCTCCCTGCTTGGCAGGAGGCCTGCTTCTCCCTTTCCCACTCCCCCTGCTTGTGTTCCCTCTTTCACTGTGTATCTCTGTCAAATAAATAAATAAAATCTTAAAAAAAAAAAAAGAAAAAGAAAGAAGATTGCAGGCACAAGCATGGGGCACCACCCACCAGAAGCCAGATCTCTTTCTTCCCAGTTGCCCTCACTTTGTTTTCTTTTTTAGTTCATTTTTAAATCTGTCACACAAACAATATTATGTTAATAAAGTAAAAGAAAAATCCACCTGCCTACTGCCTCTCATTCATTTCCAGTGTATGCCTCATGCGTGCTTTTTTTTTTAAAATTTTACTTTATTTTATTATGTTATGTTAGTCACCATACAATACATCATTAGTTTTTGATGTAGTGTTCCATGATTCCTTATTTTCGTATAACACCCAGTGCTCCATGCAGAACGTGCCCTCCTTAATACCCATGCGTACTTTTAATCACAGCGAAGGTAGGTATAATATTGTGTGCTACTCTTTCATTTAACCTGACACTATACATATTTTTCAAAGCTGCTACATGATTTTCACAATCACTTTTTTCTTGTAAAAGTCATTACTGATCATTGTAAAATGCCCAGCCAGCACAGGTAAGTATAAAGTGAAGAGTGGGTATCTTTTTCCATTTTTTTACTGTAGTGAGAACACTTCTGGTTTTCACCAATGGGTGTGCTCCAGCTTTTGGGTTAAGAGAAATATGTTCTTGGGGTGCCTGGGTGGCTCAGTCGTTAAGCATCTGCCTTTGGCTCAGGTCATGATCTCAGGGTCCTGGGATCGAGCCCCACATCAGGCTCCCTGCTCCACGCGAAGCCTGCTTCTCCCTCTCCCACTCCCCCTGCTTGTGTTCCCTCTCTCACTGTGTCTCTCTGTCAAATAAATAAAATCTTAAAAAAAGAGAGAGAGAAATATGTTCTTCCAATGTCATAGAGACAGAGAATAGAATGGTGGTTGTCAGCGGCTGGGGATAGGGGCAGATGGGGTGATGTAGGTCAAAGGGTCCAAATGTTTAGTTTAAGAAGAGCTAAGTTCTGAGGATCTAAGACACAGCATGGTGACTACAGTTAATAACGCGGTACTGTGTACTCCAAGGTTGCTGAGAGATCTTAAGCATTCTCACTGCACACACACAAAACAGTGAACTATATTAACCATACGAGGTGATAAATATGTTCATTATATCTTGAGCTCGGTAATCACTCTACAACGTATATGCATATCAAATTATCGTGTTGTGTACTTTAGATATATACGCTATATGTGTTAATTATTTCCCAATAGTGAAAATTATTAAAAAGAGAGAAATATGTTGTTAACACACAGATATTTCTATTCTGATTGCATTTCAAATTCTTTATTAGGAGTGGATATTAAACTTTAACATGTCTTTTCAGCATCGATTTACATGATATTTCCCTTCTGAGTCATTAACATGATGAACTATGTTAATGGATTTCTTAAAGAACCATCCTTTCATTCCCATAATTAATTTAGTTAATTCAAAATGTTTACTTTGCACTCACTGTCCTCAGTTCTAGGTAATTATATACCGTGTCACTAGAACAGACATGACTGTGTCCTCATAGAACTAATCGGGTGGGGGAGATGAGTTCATACCAGAATATAAGTATATGAGTAAACTATGCAAGTACAAATTATTATAAGTGTTACAAAGAAAAAAGAACCAGTTTCATTAAGACCACTTGGTCTTAAATTAAGAATGATTTTTTTTTTCTGGATTCTACCTACCTCTTTTTATTAGAGACTTTTACAGTAATATTCAGTAGTGAAATTAGTTCATGGTATTCTTTATGTGTGGTGTTTGGGATCAGTATTTATACTGATTATGTAAAAAAAAAAAAAAGGCGAAAGCTTTCTTCTTATGTCCTCAAATAGTTTGAACAACATCAGAATAATCTGTTTCTTAAAGATTTAAAGGCATTAGTGTCTAGGTTGAAAGTAAAAGTATATAGTCCTGGTTCTTTTCAGGATGTAGCTTCTATTTCCTCCATAGTTATTTTCTTTATTTAACCAAGTTTTCATATTTGTTTTCAATTTTATTTCTAATTTTGGGTATTTGAGATTTTTTTTTTTTTTGTCTTATGGAGGATCTATTGTAATGTCTTTAAGCATAGAGTCTTGGGTTTATTTATCAATCCATTGCTTTTCTATTCTCTATTTCATTAATTTTTACCTTTATTAATTGCTCCTTTCTGCTCACCTCAGCTTTATTTCAGTGTTTTTCTTCCCTAACTTTTTGAGTGGAATGCTTGACTTACATTTAAAGAAATGAATTTCCTTCTGAATACAGCATTAGTCATCAACTATAGGTTTAATAGTAAGTGTTTTCATAGTAATTTAAAAAATATATGCTGTAATGAAATCTTGGTTTCCACTTGGGCCCAGCTCCAGTTTAAGAGTAGTGTTAACATTTCCAGATGTTACGGTTTTACTCGTTTCTATTTTTGTTATTATTTTCTGTTTTTCTTTCACTGTGATCTGAGAATGTGGTCTGTACTATTTCAACTTCCTGGACTTTATCAAGGATTTCTTTGTGGCCAATTACACGATTGACTTCTGTAAATGTCACACAGGCACTTGAAAGCAGGTGTATGGTCTGTTTTCAGGATTTAGAGTTCAACATTAGATCAAAATTAAGGACTCATTCCTCTATCCTTACATATCTTTCTGTCTACCTACCTTCCATGAGCTAAGAGAAGTTTCTACTCCTCTCACATTTCTGTTAATGTAGTTTTCAAAAGAGCTGCTGCCCGAGTCTCCTGAGGCCTCCTGGCCTTGGTGTCTCCCCTTCCCACCCCCCAGGCCCACCATGCTGAGCAGCTAAATACTAATGTGGGGCTTCCAGGAGCCTCTGTTGCATCTAATGCTTCCGCCTTGATTTTAACTTAGATAGTAATAGTATGGCCTTCTGCTTTCTTTTACTTTCAAACAGAGTTACTTTGTTTTAGATGACATTTATTTACGTATGAAGCCAAAGTATTTCACAACCAGCAAGGGCCAGTTAGAAAGGGCACTATTTCTACAACTCTCATAGATCTGAACCAGAGAACACTGGCTGAATCCAATTTCAGAATCTTTCAAAATCAGGCTGGGAATTTTTCTGAAGTCCAATTTGGGAATCTTTCTTTATTACCAGGTAAATTTACCCCATTTACATTTATGATCATAACTGATGTGTATGATCTTAATACTGTTATCTTACTTTCCTATTTAAAATTTCCTTTGTTTTCAATATTTTCCTATATACTTCACATTTTGTCTCTCGGTTGTTTCCTTTTGTTCTCCCTATCTGGTAATTCGGAAAGGAACAAATATAAAGTTCTTTTTCTGTTCTTTTGATCAATAGCATACCTGAACATAGTATAAATTTGTTTCTATAAGTAACTACCACAAATACAAATCTTCCAATTTAAAGGAGAGAATTAGGTCGTGAAATGAAAAAAAATGAAAGCTCCAGCCTTCCTTAACATGAGCGCTGCCTGTCCCAATGGTGTAAGTATAACCTACAGAGTCCTAGCAAACAACACCTGATGTATGGATCATCTTATCTGCAAAGAGGCAAAAGAAGCATTATAAATAAATATTTTAAAAGGCAATTTTTCCAAATGATTAGTGAGAGCTCCTAGTGTTGATTTAAATGAGAGAGAGAGAGAGAGAGAGAGTGAGTGTGTGTGTGTGTGTGTGTGTATGAGAGAGAGGAGAAGAGAGGGTAGATTTTAAAAATATATATAGTGGGCTTATAGAAGCAACACTTTTCAAATTTTATAAGGTGACTCTGGAAACAAAAGGAGATGGGTGGGTCAACAATGAATGAAAGAAATGTATTTAAGAAAATCATACTGCTTACATTTACGTTTCTTATTAGCCACATTTCATTAAAGTTTTTTAAAACATGTAAACAAGATCAGTCTTGCTAAGTAATTCCTGATACAAAAGTTTCAGTTGGGATCATTCATTTGGTCCTCTTTTAATAATTTTCAATTATGTACTAAGAAAGACAATCCTCAAATTGTCAGACAGCAAATAAAATTACCAAGAAGTAAAAACCCTTACATATGTTTTTAAAAGAATTAAACATACCAATTGTAGCCATGGACACGCAAAATATAATTTGCATAATTGAGACTGGGTTTATTACTACAGATCAGAGTTGAAAAGTAGAAATGACGAGAAAGGAATCGAATGAATGCTCAAGAGCCTCCTTCCAATCTCTTTCCTGACTTCGCACGGCTAGATTAGAGAATTAGGAAACAAAGCGCGTCCTTACCGAGAAGTGCCACCAGGGTTAACAGTATCACCATGTGCTTCATTCCCTTTCTCTTATGGAAATATAGCAGAGTGCAGAAAATTAATATTTCTAAAATCTAGAAACGAAAAAGATGAAAAAGAGTAAACTATAAATTATTTTATACAAAGTCTTCAGAATGCCACACTTCCCTTTCTGATTTTGCAACAGTTTTCCTATGAGAGCTGAGGGTGACTGGCGTTCCTAAGATAATTATAAACATATGAGAACAATATAAGGAGCCTCAGGCATCCAGACCCAGAGCTCTAACCTCACCTATATGCCCAAGACCCTGAGATGGGCAACTCCAGTCTCATTTATCCAACGATCTTCTAGGCATCTCCACATGCACGTTTAATAGCCATATCCCCAAAATATGGGCAATGCTAAACTCCTGAGTGCCTTCCTTCCCTACCTATCCCTCCTGGGGCCTTCACCCCCCAATGAATCGCATCAATACATACCTCATTGCATCAGCTGGTAACTCCTTCCTTTCCCCCACTCCCTGACCACCTTCTCTCTAACCCCTGCAATAGCTTCCAATTTGTCTCTGATTCGACTCTTGCCTCTACAATCCAGCCATTCAGCAGCCAGAGGAATCATTTCAAAGCACAACTTGAATAATGACATATGTTATTTGTAGAGAACATATATGATACACACATAAGGTATTTACATAATATGACAAGCAGTCGCGTGCCCTGCACCCAGCCAGAGAGAGAGAACCTGCCAAGACCTCTGAAGTCTCTTGCGCACCACTCCCCAATTGTAGTCCGCTCCTCCTAGGATCTCCCCAGCAACCACTACAATGAATTTTTGTGTTTACTATTTACTTTCTTTATAGTTTACTACCTTTTATGTATCCTCAAACAGCACCCTGTTTATTTTTGCATATATTTGGACTTTATACATGCAGAATCATACTTGTTTTCACTTCCTGGTTTTTGCATATGTTTGGACTTTATACACCTGAGCCAGCCACAGATGGCCTCCCCCACAGTTCTCTGCAAAGCTCAGATGGCTCCTGCCTTTGGACCTTTGCCCTAACTACTGGAGTTGCCTGGAATACTCCTTCCCCGATCTCCCTACAATGGCTTCTTCCAATCACTCAAATTTCAGCTTGAAGATCACCTCCTCCGAGACATCTTCTCTGACCACTCTGATCCAGCAGAGCCACCCATTGTCTACTGTAGAGAGTTTTATCATCATCTGGACTATTTCCTGTTCATGCTTTTATGGGTTTCTTTTCTGTCTCCCTGACTAGCACATGAATGAGAACAGGGACCTTATCTGTCCTCTTCGCTACTGTCTTCAGTGCCTGGGCACTGTCGGTCACTCAATCCATATTTATGGAATTAATGAATAAATGACACCTCAAATTTATTACGAGCAACTTGCCAAAAACCAGACCTAATGTCTAAAAAATTGAGTGTTCAATAAATATTAATTGACCAAATGTCTAAAATTTTCCTACCCTTAAGAAAACGGTAACGTAATTTGAGTTCTCAATTTTATTTTTGTTTTAACATTGTTTCTTTTTTGAAGTCCTTCAGATAACCTGAAGCAAAGCTATTTTTTTTTCAAGGAGGCAGTATCCCTGGACTGAAATCATAAATATGAATGTTTACTTCTCTGACGTCAGACATGTAAAAACACCACCACTAATTTTTTTTCTTAAAAATTACTAGAGTTAGGGACTTCACTACATTCAGGCCTGCATTTTACTTACGGAGCCCTCCTCTAAATCAACATGAATCTCTGCTGTTTCAGTTCAAGGTCTGCTTGTTTTTTACCCCTTTAATTCTCTGTGGGCATGGAAAGCAGCAGGACCATATCTTCCTCATTTAAAAACCTTTCATCTCATATGGAAGATTAAGTCATCCCTCAGTCTTTTCCTGGTTAATTAAACTAATTACTTTAACTTTTTCTTATAGGACTTATTTGCCAGGCCTTTAATTTAATCAAGTCGTGCTACAAAAGCTATTAAACTCCTATCACTTTGCCTTCCCCAAAGCTGCCATCAAAACGTTGGGTGTCCCAATGTCTGTACGGATCTTCAATTGTTAACAGAAATATCCCTGCCGGCTTTGTCCCCGCTTCAACCACAGGCTTCCATTTCTCACATGATACAATTACAAATGACTCACAGCAGCGTTTGGGACCCCTGTATTCGTTGCTGGAGACAAGGAGGTTCTTCCTGCACTAAATGAACAGAGCGTGTTAGCTAAATCTACTAGCAAGAGGATGATTACTTTTGGGAGCGGATGGGGGAAAATGAGGGGAGTTATCAGTTCTAAATATCACATATGACTTTTTTCCAAATTCCATCTCTGTGGCTCCAGATAAATAAAACATGAGCTCCTGTGACTCAGAATGACTGTAGCTGCCCTATGTTCTGTCTTGTGGCAAGAGGTCATAGAGCTCCCAGGAATAAAATATTCAAGCAGCACGAATTCATGTTGGTTTTTTTTTTCCTAGCAACATTTTCTCCCTCTCTGAAAATAACAATATTAAAGCAGCTGTGATTTCTACAGGTTGCTGAGACCCAGGAAGAGGCTGCTTTGCTGACTGCTACCTCAGAGGTCAGAAATAATAACAGCACTTACTGAAGGCTTACTAAATGCTATTCTTGCACTAATTCATGGAATCCTCACAACAACCTTAGGAGGTAGGCACTATTATCCCCATTTGACAGATGAGGAAACCAAGGCTCAGAGGGGTTAAGTGATACACATCTGGTAGGCAGAATAATGGCCTTCCAAAGATGCCCATGTTCTAATCTCTGTAACTTGTGTGTATGTTACTTTACATGGCAAAGGGGCTTTGGAGATGTGATTAAGGCTATGGACCTTGAGATGGGGAGATTATCTTGGATTATCCAAGTGGGTTTGAAGTAATTGTATGAGTCCTAAAAAGCAGAGAACCTTCCCAGGCCTGGTCAGAGAGAGATGTAATGTGAGAAAGAACAGAGTCAAGGAATTCTGGTGGCATTCCTAGCAGCTGGGAAAGGCAAGGAAACGGCTTCTCCTCCAGAGGCTCTAGCAAGGAATATGGCCCTGCCAGTACCTTGATTTTAGTCCAGTGAGACCCGTGTTGGACTTCTGACCTTCAAAACTGTAAGATAAGAAGTCTGTATTGTTTTAAGACACTAAGCTGGTGACAATTTGTTACAGAAGTAATAGGAAACTAACCTAGGTTTTGGTATCTGAAGTCTTTCCAGGGGAACCAACGTTCCATGCTCATGGATTGGAAGAACAAATATTGTGAAGATGTCAATGCTACCTAGAGCAATCTACACATTTAATGCAATCCCTACCAAAATACCATCAACTTTTTTCAAAGAAATGGAACAAATAATCCTAAAATTTGTATGGAACCAGAAAAGACCCCGAATAGCCAGAGGAATGTTGAAAAAGAAAAGCAAAGCTGGCGGCATCGCAATTCCGGACTTCCAGCTCTATTACAAAGCTGTCATCATCAAGACAGTATGGTCCTGGCACAAAAACAGACACATAGACCAATGGAACAGAACAGAGAGCCCAGAAATGGACCCTCAACTCTATGGTCAACTAATCTTTGACAAAGCAGGAAAGAATGTCCAGTGGAACAAAGATAGTCTCTTCAACAAATGGTGTTGGGAAAATTGGACAGCCACATGCAGAAGAATGAAACTGGACCATTTCCTTACACCACACACAAAAATAGACTCAAAATGGATGAAAGACCTAAATGTGAGACAGGAGTCCTTCAAAATCCGAGAGAAGAACACAGGCAGCAATCTCCTCTACCTCAGCCGCAGCAACTTCTTCCTACATACATCGCCAAAGGCAAGGGAAGCAAGGGCAAAAATGAACTGTTGGGACTTCATCAAGATAAAAAGCTTTTGCACAGCAAAGGAAACAGTCCACAAAACCAAAAGACAACTGACAGAATGGGAGAAGATATTTGCAAAGACATATCAGATAAAGGGCTAGTATTCAAAATCTATAAAGAACTGATCAAACTCAACACCCAAAGAACAAATGATCCAATCAAGAAATGGGCAGAAGACACGAACAGACATTTTTCCAAAGAAGACATCCAAATGGCCAACAGACACATGAAAAAGTGCTCAACATCGCTCGGTATCAGGGAAATCCAAATCAAAACCTCAATGAGATACCACCTCACACCAGTCAGAATGGCTAAAATTAACAAGTCAGGAAACGATAGATGTTGGTGAACGCTGTGAATTGTGTAAGACTGATGAATCACAGACCTGTACCTCTGAAACAAATAATACATTATACTTAAAAAAAAAAAAAAAAAAAGATAGCAGGAAGGGAAAAATGAAGGGGGGGGAATCGGAGGGGGAGACGAACCATGAGAGACTATGGACTCTGAGAAACAAACTGAGGGTTTTAGAGGGGAGGGGGGTAGGGGGATGGGTTAGCCCAGTGATGGGTATTAAGGAATTAAGCAGGGCACGTATTGAATGGAGCACTGGGTGTTATTTGTAAACAATGAATCATGGAACACTACATCAAAAACTAATGATGTAATGTATGGTGACTAACATAACATAATAAAATTAAAAAAAAAAAAAAGAATCTTCGGGATGAATTTTCTGAATTGACTCCGGGGTTTTCTGGATTGATTCTCTAATCTAACTAGATTTAAGGGCACTCATCACCCTGCGGAGGTGGGCTGCCTGGTTTTGAATTCTTAGTATTCATGTAACCTCGGACAGGTTACCTACCTCAGTTTCCCCATCTGCTGCAGAGGTAAAGGACAGAACGGACTCAGAGCTCTGCCCAGGGCTCAGCGTGCTCGGTGAGCGGCGGCTGCAGCTACCGCAGAAGTGGGCCCAGTGCAGATGTGCAAGGGCTGTATGCATTCCGACGGCAAAGCAAAGGAACCCCGTGTGATACAGAGTGAAGCCTGAGAAAAACAGCTATTTTTCCCTTCATGTTTTCGACACCTGGTGGGTTTTGAAGCAGCTCTGCCGGAAAGGCTGACTTAATAATTAGCTTAGAATGACCCCAAAAAATAGGGCTCGGCCCCTGCTTCTGCTGATTTAATTTTTTTGTCTGGTGGAGACAAAATGAGCACCATGCAGATTATTTTGTGAAGGATCTTATGTTCACGACAGAAGTTGCCATATGAATGCTCTGTTGGCAAATCTGGGCGGGCAAAACGGCCACAACCAAGCCTGCCAAAGAACATGAAGTAATTGAGGCTCAGGGCCGAATTTCCTCACGTGGGCTCTGTGGACCGCATTGATAGGTGTTACTCAACCAAAGGTCCTTCGAGAAAAGGACCCCGTGGTCAGCAAGCCTGTTTCCTTCCTAAAGGACCTCTGGCTTTGAACATGCTAACAGAGATGAATTTCTCAGAGAGGGCCATGTTATGCACAAGCTTTCCTCGCAAGTTTAACCTTGAAAATGCACTTGTTTTTTGTGAACAGAGGTTGGGAAAGGCTGTTTCAGTGGGTGAGCAAAGGACACGTCATTCTTCACTGGCCAGTTGATACCAGGCTTCTCAAATCCTCTTCCTACCAAAAAGAGAACCAGCTCAGGGGACAGGCTCCTGGGCCTTGTTTCTGAGGCCTCCACCTTGTGTAAGCCTTAAGGGTAACCTGGACATCCACCTGGTCCAGGTAAACCCACGAGACAAGGAGATGCTATCAGCTTCCTGGGATACGATTTTACAATCCCCTTTTGAGAAATGTCAAACTTATCCAGACAAAAATATATATATATTTTTAAAGATTTTATTTATTTATTTGAGACAGAGAGAATGAGAGAGAGAGAGAGCACATGAGAGGGGGGAGGTCAGAGGGAGAAGCAGGCACCCTGTCGAGCAGGGAGCCCGATGCGGGACTCGATCCAGGGACTCCAGGATCATGACCTGAGCCGAAGGCAGTCGCTTAACCAACTGAGCCACCCAGGCGCCCTAGACAAAAATATTTTTATTCATTGTATTAGTTATTTGATCAGTCCTGAAAAGCATTTCAGGTACTGCATTTATCCTTGGTGTAATCCAAGAACAGCTAGATGAATGATTCTTCAAAGAACAGTCTTAATGGCTGTAATTATGATCTTTGCAGTCATGGTTGGCAGAAAAAGCATAGAAACTGCCACCTCCAAGGATTAAATATTAATTACTTTAATGCTTAACAGATTTAAACCAAACTTCAGCTCAAGATCTTAGCATATAATTGATATCTTTAAATTCCAAACTAAGATAATGCAGATAATTCCCTTTAGAGTCTACAGCCAATAGTGTTATTCAAATGTGACTTTATTAAAGATTTATTTTATACTATCTTATAAATACCTGAAATTAGTTACATTTTTGGGTGACATTTACTTTCAAATATACTTTCATTATTTTATAGGAATATGGGCCTCTCCCAGGACAGTAAAATCCCTGTTAACAGGAATTCTTCTCTAGACCCTGGGTGTCTAATCAGTTGAATGAATTAGTGAATAAATGAATGAATGAACTTAAGAGTTGACTTTGGAAAGTGACAAAATGCAAGTAATGTCAGAGTGTTTTTTTGTGGAACTTTAAGGTTTAATAAAAAGTAGTTTTGTTCTTTTCAATGTTTCCTCTGGTGTTAAAACAATATAAGATATGTCATCGTCAAACAATGCTGTTTATTCCAGGTAATTAAGTCTTGATGCAACTTTAATCTCCAAAGGATTCAACTCTGGCTATTCATTTTCTGGTCACAGACTGTGTGACCCTTTTCCTACTGGATGAAGAATTTGTTTTGCCTGTAGGCAAAGAATAATAATACGTTGGTAAGACTTCAAGTCTGGGCTACCATGAAACACTAGGTAAATCCTTCTAGAGCCTTGGATTTGATTGATGAACTCTGTTAAAGGGTTGGGTCTGGTGGATAAGCAGGAGGATTACAATGGGACAGAGGAAGCACAAAGTACGACAGGCCCGAGGAAGGCTAATCTGAGCTGGAAAGTCCAATCCTAAAGGTTGATGGAGAGCAGGAGGAAGGGGGGCCTTCCAATACAAGAAAGAAGAGAGTTCAGGGGAGAAGATATTAAGTTCAGTTTTTGAGATGATACATTTGAGGAACCTATGAGACATCCAGGCAGGGATGAATAATAAGTGGACCGATGAGAACACAGATCTGCAACTCAGAAGAGGCCTGGGAAAGAGATGTAGGTCTGGATTTAGAAGTCTTCCTATAGGATGATGGGGGTTGGCAATGAGATCACCCTAGAAAACCATGGAAGAGTATGTACCTGAATAGATAAAGAGTGGTTGGCACAAGAGAAGGAGGTACCCACCAAGAGAATGGGATGGACGGTCAGAGAGGAAGAGGAGAAGCAGGGAAAACAAAATGAGGAAACCAGGAAAGAGAGGGGCTTAAGGAGATGATGGGTCACTAGTAAATGCTGCACAAGGTTCAAGAAGCAGCAGGACCAAAAAAGCAATTCCGCTTGGCAATTCGTGGGTGCGGAGGGAATCTACCAGATTAAAATGAGTGAGGAGTGACTAGGAGCTGGGAAAGTAGAGGAGAGAGTGGAGTGGGGGGGAAATAGGACAGTTTATGACAGAGTGTGTAAGGATGAGGAGATTTTTTTTTTTTTTTAAAGCAGAGAAACCTGATTATCTTTGTTGAGTAAGAAAGTAGCATAGTGGGAAGCTACGAAGAGAAAATACTGTAAGCATTTGTGCTCCAGGGGTCAGAATTTTATGTCAGAGACAGCAAGATACATAGAATTCCTATCACACGGACTAAGGACGGTCAGATAATAATGTAGGACCATGTAGTCTCCACTGTAATATTCTGGGTTACACTTAGAGCAAATCTCACCAAAAAACATGTCCCTACAAATGCCAATGTCACACTTGAATAATAGGTATATGAAGTAGGGTCATACTAGCTTACCTGTTACAGTGGCAGAGGACTAGACCAGATAGCTTTTTGAAGTCACTTCTAATCCTAAAGATGTATGATTCTCTGTGCTTTGATTCTTTTTGTTGAATTCACAATTATTTTACTAATACAGTTCTTGGTTAAATGCTCATGACCTCTATCCCAGTTTTCTTCTTACCACCTGCCCTTCCTGGAATATGTTGATTCTGCAACCTAAACCAACTTCTGTAACAAGTTACATACCAACTGTCTCCAGCACATTCGATAGTCACTGAATCAAATAAAATATCCCAATTAGTGCCTTCAAATTTCTACATCAGCTCATTCCATTCTTTTTTTTCTTTTTTTACACATCTCCCAATATTACCCTACTGCTGTCTACTTCTCCCCAGACAGTCTGCTGCATTCGTCTCAAAGAATACTTTTTTGAAGAAAATATCTATCTCGAATAAAAGTCGATGAAGTTAAATGTGTCTTCAGGCATTTCCCTTTGACCTAGGAAGAGAGGTTTTTTGGGTTTGTTTTTTACTTTGAGTTGTCCTACAACATGTTGCTTTGGAATTTGCTGGACTAAATATTGTGGAAATTGTTCCAGTGACAAGTCACCCCCAAGAATAGGATACTCAGGAAACTGGGGGTGTTCTATCGTTGATTTAGTGTTTCAAATACCTTGGCCTTGGTCAAATATATTTACAATTTAATGAGATATTAATGCTGAGAAGAAAAGACTTTATTCATTCTCTAACATCTGCATGTACCAATGGTCTAGATAATAGAACTTCTGGTAGAGTAAAATGTTTAAGATTCTTACCACATAGATCAGGAACTGCCAGCCAACAAAGTAATACTGTACCGTTCTTGCAGAGATAGACTGACTTCTATTTGGAGCAAAGTTCACCAATAAGTATGTTCCCGCAAATGCCAATGTCATACCTTTAAATAAAATTGAAAAGACAAACCAAGTTGAAAAGGGATATTTAAGCCTTTTTGTCAATTCAAATATTACCTATAGAATGAGCATTACTTATAAAAGTGCCTTTAATCCCTCCCTATTAAAATATGATTCATCAAACCATCCCTAGATAGCATCATGCATTCACTTGATGGCATTATCTTTAAAACGGGGGAAAAGGGCCAGGGAAAGGGTGCGGTCGGACCTAACTTCTGATTTTTCTTTTTTGTTCCAGATGAATCCTTGCCTCTTCAGAAAACCTTTCCCCAAAGATGGGAAAGATCAGAACACATGCATTTGGACACATGAAAACATATCCAAGCTGGCTGTTTATTTCTATGTGGACCAGTAAGTACACGATAGATCTAGATCCATCAGAGCCCAGAGAGTGGGGAAGTCTATCACCTGATGATGACCTGATGATCTACTCTGTACTTATTCATCTTTGAAGCCTTTACACACACACACACACACACACACACACGATTTTACACTTTGAAACTCTGGTAAAAGAGCACCTTAATCATTGCCATGTATTGGAGTCCTTTTAGCAGAAATAACAAAGGTGAATGCTGACTTTGCTATAAGATTTATTTACTCCCATTTAGAATCTAGAATTCTAGGGCCAACTTAGTAAAATATCCACATTTTAAGCATAAGTAAGGAATGTGTTACTGTCATCCCTTTAACAGTATTTAAAATAATAGAGGAAAGAAATGTGTATGGGAAGCGGGTCTACGTAAGGGGGAGTAAAGGGAGGCCTTGACATTCCAAATAACACTGAAAACTGCTTATTTATTAACAATCAGTAGAGAAAAATTGATATAGGTAGCATTTTTCAGATAGCACCCTTGAAAACATAATTCAACTTGTTTCATCACTGAGGTCAGCACTGTTGTGTATATAATTTACAACCAGCACTGACTCTAACCTGAAGCAGTTTGGCTCGTCTATAAAATCTCACAATTGGAAGACACCAATTTCCTGTTCCTCTTAACCAAATGATTTAGGGTTTTGAACTTTTGTTTCTGAAAACAAACAGCATTTGACTTTTCACACAAGCTAGACAATAGCTATTTGAGGTATTGTAGAAGCTATAAAATAAGCTTCCTCTAATGTTAAGAGCTTACTCTGTAATACTTTGTGAAGGCAGAAATTATATACAAAATTTCAAAAGCTATTTCTAATGAGAGTTTTAAAAATAAATAAAAACTATATATATTATTAAGCATTGTGATAAAAGGAAAATAATAAAAATTACAAGTACCTAAGAAACCTGGGCAAAATTATTGGTCAGCCCCACCCTTTCTTTGGAAAAGAAAAAAAGATCTTGTAATTGTTCAATATTAGGTTCCTAGGAGGATGGGCTTCTAAAAAAAAAAACAGTCTTCTAAACTTGGTATAGTGCAGTAGAATAAATGCATTGAATACAACTTAAAAACCGCAGAGACTTCCAGCTTTCTTTTGTGAAATCCAAATTTCTTATTTTTATTGAGTTCCTCTGCCAGTAATTTTTTTTTTTTTTATCTCCACTAGCTGTATCTAGTGTGATTACATTTCTTTATTTTTAAATTTAGTTTTGATTGGGTAACACATGCATATGTAAAAAATTCAAAAGACACACAAGGGTGGTGAGTGAAAAGTTAAATCTCTCGTACACCCTTCTGGCCCACTAGTTCCCCTCCTGGCAGTAAACACTGCCACCAACTCTTCGATTTCCCTTTTCAGAGGTGTTTTATGCGGGTGTGTGAGAGAGTGCATGCGTTTGAGTTTTCTACACAAACAGCAGCATATTATGTACACTTTTCTGTACCTTGCTTTTGTTCTATTTAACAGAGCATCTTGGAGAACATTTCACATCAGTGTATATAGGGCAGCCTCATTCTTTTTAAGTCTGCATAATGTCCCGTTCTCTGGAGGGAGTGTTATTTAACTTAACTTTCCAGCAGGGTCCCTGTTTCCCATCTGCTTCCACATTTGCATACTGTGCCCATTTCTACAAATGTAGATCTTCACTGCATTTCAAAACTCCTTGAAAACAAATAAAATGACTCATGATTTTGCAATTAGACTTTCAAAGAACTTCTGCACATGTACTATGTCACTTGAGCCCCATGTCACTGTGGATCTGGTTAATGACTCTAAGGCAGCTCAGTAGGTCACACATCGTTTCTTCTTAATAATTTTCATTTCAGCTTCCTCTGACAATTACAAAGGTAGTTCTAGATAGCTGCTGTTACACGTTTGTTTACTGGGTGTCATTTGTATTTGTCTGTGTGACTCACGGTCTCCTTTACGGATCACGTGCACGTGTTTCCTAAGTGTTTAGAAGTGTTGAAGATACTCATTAGCAGCTCCTTATATTAATTTCCTTAAAATGTATTTATATTCCTTATTTTTTCTAAAAGTGGCATTTAGATCCACAACTATTCTTTCATTAGAAAGACACAGATTCCTACATTAGAAAACTTAGTTTAACTGCCACTGGTCCATTTGCCCAAGGGAGTAATCTGGACGCGTAAGATACTCGAGGAAGGGAAGCCACACTTGGTCTGCTCTTTGCCCACGGAAATGATTAAATTCCAGGTCAATACTTGGATCGTGAAAGTCTAAACCACACTGAAACTGCCCCCACAGAATTCAAATTTCACTGCTATTTGCCGGCTGGAAAAGCTTAAGCATGTTACTTCTCCCTCTGTGACTTAGTCTTCTCATCTCTAGGTACAAACTAACTTATCACACCTGCTAGACTCCAGGAATTTGGCTGGACAAGAAGCCAATCTAGGGAGCCGAATAGATTTGACAGCTCATCTGGAGGCCTGACGTGACAGAAGAGCCCGGGACACATCTACCTCAGGATACTGACCACTAGGAGTCAAAAACTATCTCAGTTATGCTTAAAATTTAATCCAAAATTGGCAGCTCTCTCTGCACATGGGTCCTGTCCCTGTGCTATCATGAAAGCACCTTTTTGCTTGAGGCAAGCCCGAAACAAAGAGCCAATCTGTTCTCTCAACCAGAAATGATGGTTTGTTTGGCTAGATCAGTATTCTCGATACTGGCCCTCACCCAAGCTGACCATTTGGTGTGGGAGAAGGAAGGAAAGGGATGGTCCTCATGTCACTATTAAGCTCCTGATATTCTATCTGGGGAACCCATTTATAGGTCACTTGAAGTAATCAAGTTACTGGTCTCTGGAGAGTACTGATGAATTGTCTGTATTTTTTTTTTTTTTAATGATGATATTATCTGGACTTTAGTCAGCTAGGATCTCACAGCCTATTAGATTTAGTACTTTTGATGACTAAGGGAGAAGAGAGGGGAAAGTACTATATAGGTTTTGGCTGATTGAAGAGGAGAGAAATCTGGTGCTTTTTAAAGGAAAAATAATCATTAAAATAATTTAAAGTTATTAATCCACTAAGAATCAGAGCACAGTCCAAAGCCTGTCACTGAGTTAATAATAGTTGGCGATTCCTTTCAGACATAGCTTTTGTGAGGTCATTTTTTTGAGGCTAGTGGTGAAAAGCTTCATAGCCATAGAGCAACATTTGGCAATAAATTAGTTCAGCTTGTTTCCACATGGCCCAAAAATCTTCATTTGTTCCATCATGAAAAACAAACTTTCATTTGCTTGAAGCAGGGAAAAATAAATGATTTTCTTTTGCATATTTTGACAATTTAATTTTTAGCATGCTTATATGGTAATCTTTTTTTTTTTTTTTTAAAGCCACTAACTACTCTTTTCCATGTTTGGTTTTAGTCCCTGTAAAGAAAAAAACCTGCGTTTTTAGCTCTCAACAGAAAAAGCCCAATTTTCTCAAGGCAACGGCAATACAGACCCAAAGAAAATACATGTGACTTAACACATTACTGAGTGAGTCTGGGGAGAAATCCTTCTCCCCAAGTATGAAGAGGGTTATTGCATGTCAGGTCATGATAACATTGTGACGTTGCTGTTGGAGTCACAGGTATGGAATAGGTGGCTCTGTTGTTTCTTCTTCCTACACGGGAGATGATGGACTCTGAGAAACAACCTGAGGGTTCTAGAGGGGAGGGGGTGGGGGGATGGGTCAGCCCGGGGATGGGTATTGAGGAGGGCACGTTCTGCATGGAGCACTGGGTGTTACACGCAAACAATGAATCATGGAACACTACATCAAGAACGAATGATGCAATGTATGGTGATTAACATAACAATAAAAAATTTAAAAAAAAGAATCAAGAATTGCATTGGCTGGTCAAAAAAAAAAAAAAAAAAGAATTGATCACTTTTAAGTCCAGTGTGAAAAAATGTGACATCAGTTATATAGCCCTACCCAAAAAGCATTAAATCAGGAAGGCGAAAATACCCAACTAGAGTTGTGGAAAATGTTAAAGTTTGCAAAAATATCCTAATCAAGGTTTCCTCTGATGAACCACTGGAGTACATGTAGGGGCGGAGGGGGGGTGGTAGCAGTGGTTAACAATAATAGCTAACATCGAGTGCTTATTATGTGACAGGCCCTGTGCTAAGAGTTCTGCCTCTATGAACTCATTTAATCCTACAACGTAGGTAATATTATCTTCATTTAAAACGTGAGGAAAATGAGGCTTAAGGAGATTAAGTTACTTTGAAAGGTCACACAGCTCTCTGTCACTAGAGACTCACCTGGTTGTATCAGGCTGCCACTATTAGAATACTGGTCTACCATTCACTGGTTACAGGACCTTGGGCAAGTTAGTTAACCTCTCTAACTATCAGCTCTGTAAATAGGTTGCTCCTACATTTAAATGAGATAGTTCATATAAAACACTAATGGTACCTGGAAAGAGGAAATATTTAATAAATGTTAGCTGTTCTTAAAATAAGAGGAATTAGCAAAGAATCAAAGAGTTAACAGAGGTTTAACTTTTTATTATTATTATTTTTTGGTATGTGTGTGTATATGTGTGCATGTTTCTTATTCCCTGTATTGCATTTTTAGTATTACCTCTCAGGAATGAAGTTGATCACAGAAATGATGACAATTATATTAACAGGGCTTTACATTTTTCTTTTTTTTTTTTTAAGATTTTATTTATTTATTTGAGAGAGAGAGAATGAGAGAGAGCGAGTACATGAGAGGGGGGAGGGTCAGAGGGAGAAGCAGACTCCCTGCCGAGCAGGGAGCCCGATGCGGAACTCGATCCCGGGACTCCAGGATCATGACCTGAGCCGAAGGCAGTCGCTTAACCAACTGAGCCACCCAGGCGCCCACATTTTTCAATGTGCTTAAACGAATTATGGAATTTGATCCTTAGAACAGTATTCTATATTTGTCAACAAACTGAGGCTTAGGGAAGTTAAGTAATATTATGTTGGCCGCATGGTTGACAGAAAAGGTGGAATTCAGATTCGAACTTATGAGAGTGAGTTTAATTTATATCCTTTGAGTTGAGCTAGTTTCCTGGTTTTAGTAACGTTTTGCTGATCTTGGGATTTCCAAGTATATAATCAAATCATCTGCACACACTGATATTTCTATTTCTTCCTTTTCCATAGTTGTGACTTTTTTTCCTAATCCTATTGGCAGCAGTTGAGTGCAGTATTAAATAGAAACTTACCCTGCCTTTTTGTACTTTTGTTACTGCTTCTCGTTTTAATCCCTCTGTATATCATCCTCCAAATGCTTGGAAATGGCCCATGCCTATCCTATCCGGCCATCAGAACTGAATGGAATGTTACTGCTATAAAAAAGCCTCTCTGAGCTTCTCAGCTAGAGTACCGTCTATTTATTTTACACCAGTGGTTCTCAATTGGGGGTGATTTTGTCCCCCAGGGGGCATTTGGCAATATGTGAAGTCATTTTTGGTTGCCATAACTAGGGCATGCAGTGCTACTGGCATCCGATGGGTAAAGGCCAGGAGGAATGCCGCTAAACATCCAGCAGTGCACAGGACAGCCCCCTGCAATGAAGAACTCTCCAGCCTAAAATGTCAGCAGTGCCGAGGCTGAGAAACCCTGTTCTAAACTAAAGCCTCAAGGCATGAGGACATATATTATTTTCCACTTTTAAAAAACTTATTAATGTATATATTTTATCATTGACTGTATTATTTGAGGGCAGAGATTCCATATTAATCATCTTCTGATCGCAGTGTTCACAATAATTAGCAAGTCTCCCTACACATCCACCTGTATTACCTCATTAAATACCTTAGATTAATTTAAACCTTAATCGACCATTAACTACAAAAGATGGCATATGTTAGATAAAATGATTTAGAGTTTCCTTAAGACATTTGATAAATGAGAAAAATAATATAGGACCTAATTTTTTTTAATTTGTAAAACTCAGGCAAATGTTCATTCTTATTTCTGATTCCACGCATCCTCCCCAAATGATTCCATAAACCATGATATATTAAAAAAGGAGTATTAGAAAAATGATATATTTGAAAAGATACAATGCACATATGAGTACATTTGGAAAAACATTGCAACCATGATGAATTTGATGATGTCAACTAAAAACTCTACTAGCAGTTAGGGGCGCCTGGGTGGCTCAGTTGGTTAAAAACTCTACTAGCAGAATCAAACCAAGGAGGAAAAAGAAAAAGTGAAAATATGTTCAAGACACTAGGCTCCAGGGAAACACAATCAGGGGGAAAAAATGCTCAACATACCAATACTGGTGTCATATTTAAAGCTCAAATTTTTTTAAAAAAGCTGATATCCTTGGAAGGGAGTAGACATTGCTTTATTTAAAGCACCTAAAGTATCATATTTGTTACCATATGTCAGCAGCAATTCAGAGAGGATTTTGTCAAGGAAGAAAATATGAAGTTCCAGAATTCTTCTCACAATTGATACTTCCAGTAAGAGGTAGAAGATACAATCAAGACAGGATGGCTTTGCTATATAATAGCAATCTTTCTTACAGCCGGGAAGGCTACTGTTACTTGCCACTAATAGCTGTATTTCTAAATAAAATTTTGAAGGGGAACGTTCCATGTTACTTTCGGAAAGAGCTAAATACAAATTAGGTAGTTAATTGGTGCATCTAATTTTTGTGTGGTTTTCATTTTTATGCAGTACTTTCATGTAACAATCTAACAAATACATCCTTTGAAGTGGAATACTCTATTAGGTAACACAGATGTTTTCTTGGATTTTATTATGCACATGAAACTTTTATAACATTCATAATAATAATAGTGTAAAGTAATAATTCACTGTGGCCGATAGCATGAGCAGTGGGCACAGTGAAAATTGAAGTATTTCACATGAAAGAGCAGAACACAGCTCCAAGAAAGAATACTATCCATCTCCAAATGAGATTTATCCATTTCAGTAATTTGTTCCCACTTTTTAATGCACATATTTTTTTATGAATACTATTATTTATTTCCTGATCAAACAGTGCTACAGTTACATGAATTAACCAATGACTTACCTAGTAAATCTGAAGCTCTTAAGTTTTCTTTCAGAAACATAACAGAAATAATGGCACTACCTAGAAAGAAAATGGCCATTAGTGGTGTTCCCCATATAAAAACATATATTATGCGGTGCCATTTGAAAGGAGTTAAGCACTTTGTGTCTTATACCTGGACTAGCTATGTCCTGGTCAGAGACACCCAGTAACTGTGGCTGTGAAAACAACTTTCCCCCCTAACGGTTGAGGATACATAGAAACTGGCCTGGTTTACAGTGGACCGAGGACAGTGGCTGGGATAGTGCCCTGTGAACAGCAAGGGCATAATAAAAGCTTACTAAATAACTAAATGAATAAATGGAAAGAAAGAGAAAAAGAGAAAGAGAGGGAGGGAGAGAGGAAGAGAGGGAGGAAGGAAGAGGGGCAGGGAGGGAGGGAGGCAGAAAGAGCAAGAAGGGATGGAAGAAAGAGTGGAAGGAAGGAAGTTTTAACTTTAAATATATCCCAAACCAAAACTCATTATTTGCCTTCATCTCCTCCTACAATTCCTATTCTAATGACACCTCTAAGGAGCCCCAAAATCCTAGGACTGCTGCCGTCCCCACTCTGCTTCACACTACACATCCAACAGGATCCCAGGTCTGCTGGGTCTGAGTTTCACCATCTCTCCCACCCACCCCCTCCAGTCCACTGTCACTGAGCTGCTCAGGCCAGCTTCACCTCAGGCTTAGACCTCAGGCTCCTGCTGCTCACCACATCTGTTCTTGATCTCTTTTATATTCCATGCCCATCCTTACTCCCTTACTCGAATAATCAGAATTCCCAGAACCACCATCTAGTTTCATTCTAAAGGACTCTTATTTGGGCTATTCCCTTTGCAACTCTGCCTCCATTCTTGTGACCAACTCTGGACTCAAGGATCACCTCTGGATTCCCCTAGACCCAGTTGACCAAACCACTCTTTTGTGTAATTACCCCCTCTAATACAGCTTTGTTACACTGAAGATTTATTTGCCTGTCTCCCCTCAAAGACTATCAGTTCCTTTGACTCTGAGAGATAGGTCTTATTCTTCTAAGATCTCCCGGGGTTACCTAGCACATAAATAAGAGAGTTTGTGGGATCTCTGCCCTGCATTTGCTGGCCCTCATGCTGTAAGATCCTCTTTCCCATGACTGATGCTACTGAACCCTCAACCTCTAAGTAAGCCATGACCTGCTACTATGGTCTCAGGTTATGTAGGATACATTGAATCTCTTTGAGTTGTTCCTCTTATGGAGCCATTCCTCTATGAGTAGAGGCATGGGGAAATCCAAACTTGCAATAATACAAAATAGTACACAACATAATTTGTATTTAAATTTTTTAAGAGTGGGGAAGGGGCAAAGGGAGAGGGAGAGAGAGAATCTTAAGCAGGCTCCACACCCAGCATGGAGCCGGATGTGGGGCTTATCTCACAACCCTGAGATCATGACCTGAACCAAAGTCAAGAGTCGGATGCTTAACCGACTGAGTCATCCAGGTGTCCCCGTATTTTGAATTTTTAACAGAATTTATTAGCCAGGTTTTTAAGTTTATTTTTTAAAGTAAAAATATACAGAAGAAAAGTCAACATAAAAATAACTCATCATCTAGAAAAAACTGCAGTTAATATGTTGGCGTGTTTATTTTACCTTAGCTGAGATAAAACTGTAATGCAAACGCTTTTTTTTTCAGTTTCCTTAGTTACCATATTATTAAACTTGCCATGTCATTTAAAATTCTTCTTAGATAAAAATTTTCATGAGTCTGTATAATAATTCATTAAATCAGTTAAATTTGAATATAACTATATCTGGTATTCTGGCAATTGATTTAAAACAAAATAAATCCATAGCAGAAACCCTCATTCAAGATAAGATGGGATTCTCTTATGTTTTCTCCATCTTTTTCTCAACCTGGCTCTCTTTTATTCAAGCTGAGCTATGTCCTTGCAAACTTCTCCTGGGCAGGTAATTTATCCAAATGGACATTTTACACAGAATAAACAGAGCATGGAAAATGTCCACCAACCATGGATTTAATTGGGTGGTGTGGCTTTAAAACACTAAAGGAATGTTTTCTGTACAGACGCATAGCCCATTACGTTAAGAATTAAGTTTGGGACAGGTGTAAAAACGTCTGAAAATTTTGCATTTCATATTTGAACCAAAACAATTCAGGGAAACTAATTTCGTATGTTAGAGCATTAGGAAAGGTATAAAAACCAAGACCCCATTCCCATCCCATCACTGACTCCCTGTGTAATTACATAAGGAATGTTTCCAAGTGGAGAGAGGTAGATCGATAAGAAACAGGTGAAGTATCAACTACTAACATATACCAAATGCATTCCATTATAACAGTCCTTGAGAGGACTATTTCACAGCAAAGGAGTCCAGGAAGAAGGGAGACACTGCTTACATGGAATGGGGACATCTTAGAGCTGGTAGGAGATACAAAGACAATGTACTCCAGGTCCTAAACTTCATATTTTGGAGGCAGGTCCAGAGAAGTTGTTTGTTCATTCATTGATCCATTCATTTAACAAACATTTGTATTACAGTGGAATTGGAACCAAAGCCCACATTTCCTTAACCCCAGTCCAGAGCTCTTTCAGGTACACTACACTCCATTGCCTCCCTTGAAAGGAGGAAGGCATTGCTCTCCTTCTCTTCTTGTTGCTGAACCAGTTTCATAAATAATTTCACTTTTAGAAGGGATGGGGGAAATGTTCTATAGGTGATAATTTCATTGCTAAAAGAGAAAGGGACATGGTTGGTAACAATAAACTTGAAATATACTGTATGCATCAAATTATATTGACTGCCATAAAAGAGTTACCAGTGTTTTATGAACATAAATATGCTACTTTTACTCTCTGAAAGAACTTCTGTCTAATGCACTTCCATACTCATTGTTTTGTTTGTTCTAAGAGGACGTGAGAGTTTCTACAAAATTGTTAGATAAGAGAATAAGATTTTTAGTTTATCTAGCAAAGCAAGTAATAAAAAAGGACATTCTGTTAAACACTCATAATTCATTTATCTTGCAAAATATGGTTAAAACGAGAGCTGTGCTGAGCAAAAAGACAGTATCTGAGCAACAGCTCATAACATGACTTCTAAGTAGAGCAGTAACTTTTTAAAATGAGAAAAAATAAATAAACCGAAGTGCCCCATATACATTTGCAATCAGAGATTTGTCAAGCTCAACCCTGTCTAGTTGTTACTGTAACAACCACCACTGCCTAATAAACACCTGGGAAGAGGAAAGAACTACTATGCTTTTACTCCTATAGTAAAATTCAGTATTCAGAAATCAAGCATCTCAAGATCAATAGCTTAAAAAGCATTAAAACAGAACACAGTTGTACATTAAATAGATTTGTGCTAGGTATGATTAAACTATACTTACTACTGAGCGTTAACTTCAGCACTCAGTTTCGTGTAGATTTTTGACTGGGGGCATATTTGGGCAGAGGTTCGAGAACCCTTTTCCATTCCAGCCTTCATATGGACACAGATCGAAACAGAGTGCTCACAGACACAGGTCTACACAGAGGGTACTTGTGGACACTGGGGTTAAATTCATTACACCATGTCTCACAAGGACTCCAGAGCTGGACACTGAACCACAGTGTGCATAATGCATTAAAAAAGAAAAGGTGAGAGGTAGCATATGAAAGATAATCTGACCGAAATTTAAACAGTGGTTATGTAGAAGTCATGGTGGGAAAAAAAAGATAGCAGGAATATTTTCTGTTTAAGGGAAAAAATAAAAAAGCTTCTAGTACTTTCTCTGGTGCAAAATGGTGTTCCCATGAGGCAGTTTATTAATATATTCACTAGGCCTTAAAGTTCTAATGCTTCATTGTCAGGAAGACTCTCAACAACAATTATTACGGGTGAGTCAACTATTCTATTTTTGGCCATTAGGGGTCATTCAGATCAACAATCAGAATGGAGATCCTTTCTGGTCAAGGTTGACATAGAGGAACTTACATGTAGGAATTCTGATTCTGGTTTCCAGACGAAAACAGACAAAGGCCAAGCAAGATTCTGGTGGCGTCAGCTGAACCAAGTCTAGATGTGGGGGAGGGTGCCAGTTCCAGCGGTAGGTATGTGACCTGGTGTTGAGCTTCGTAATGCTCCCTGAAATGAACCACAAGTTTGTCCTTTCTTTGCCTCCTCTCTTACATCTCAGACTTGGTCCAAGGACTGGCTGTTATTATGGAAGAGTTATTTCGCTTAATGTGGTCAAGAGTTGATGCTCTAAGATCCATAGCAGGCCACGAGTGAAAGAAAAAGACAACTATAGGGCACCTGGGTGGCTCAGTCGTTAAGTGTCTGCCTTTGGCTCAGGTCATGATCCCAGGGTCCTGGGATCGAGCCCCGCATCGGGCTCCCTGATGAGCAGGAAGCCTGCTTCTCCCTCTCCCCCTCCCCCTGCTTGTGTTCCCTCTCTCACTGTGTGTCTCTGTCAAATAAATAAAATCTTAAAAAAAAAAGAAAAGAAAAAGAAAAAGACAACTATAAATTGATCTGGTGCATGAGAATTCAGAAAGATCATACAAATTTGATTTGGGTTTCTTCTGTAATAGCCACCATAGGGATTAATAAATCAGAAGTTAAGCATCACATTTTTATATGTTAACAATCAAACTCAAGGGTAGATTTTTACAGGTGAGTTTAGATCTCTGTGTCTGTAGAATAGATAACTGAGGATTCCGTTTTTACATTTATATGTGCACTTTTAACTTAAACTCTTTTTACTAAAGGTTTAACAGTACAGAAGAGTTCAATTATTATTTAATGTGTTATACTATGGCCATTTTAAAACATTTTGTTCACCTTTATTTACTACTTCTCATATTTTACCCTTTATGACAACTTAATTTTTAAGATCTTTTTTAAAACTTGAGGTATAATTGACATACAATATTATATTAGTTTCAGGTGTACAACATAATGATTTGATATTTGTATTTGGTTTTTTTTCCTTTTTTTTTTTTTTAAAGATTTTATTTATTTGAGAGAGATAGCATATGCATGAGCGGGGAAGAGGGAGAGGGAGAAGCAGACTCCCGGCTGCTCAGGGAACCCAATGTGGGACTCGATCACAGAACCTCGGGATCATGACCTGAGCCAAAGGCAGATGTTTAATCAACTGAGCCACCCAGGCGCCCAGGGTTTTTTGTTTTTGTTTTTATTTATTTATTTATTTTTTAAGATTTTATTTATTTGAGAGAGAGAGAGAATGAGAGAGAGAACACGAGAGGGGAGAGGGTCAGAGGGAGAAGCAGACTCCCTGCTGAGCAGGAAGCCAGATGTGGGGCTCGATCCTGGGACTCCAGGATCATGACCTGAGCTGAAGGCAGTCGTTTAACCAACTGAGCCACCCAGGCGCCCCAGTTTTTATTTATTTTTTAATTGAAGTATAACTACATACAGTGTTATATTAGTTTCAGGGATACAATGTAATGATTCAACAATTCTATACATTTCTCAGTGCTCATCAAGATTAGTGTACTCTTTTAAAATTTAATTTTTTATTTGAGTAGAGTTGACACACAATCTTACATTAGTTTAGGTGTACAACTTAGTGATTTGACAGGTTTATACATTATGTTATGTTCACCTCAAGTATAGCTACTATATGTCCTTTTACATCATTATTACAATAAGCACTATATTCCTTATGCTGTGCCTTTTATTCTCATGTCTTATTCATTTCATAACTGGAAGCCTGTGTCTCCCACTTTTTTTTTTTTTTTAAGATTTTATTCATTCGACAGAGAGAGACACAGCGAGAGAGGGAACACAAGCAAGGGGAATGTCTCCCACTCTTCTTCACTCATTTTGCCCAACCTCACCTCCCTCCCCTCTGGCAACCATCAGTTTGTTCTCTGTATTTATAGGCCTGATTCTGTTTTTTCTTTGTTTATTCATTTTGTGTTTTTGTGGGCATTCCCTTAAGTACCCCTAAAAATACTGAGCATCTTTTCATGTCTGTTGGCCATCTGTATGTCTTCTTTGGAAAAATGTCTATTCATGTCCTCTGCCCATTTTTTAATTGGATTGAGTTTTTTGGTGTTGAGTTGTAGAAGTTCTTTATATATTTTGGATATTAACCCCTTATTGGATATATCATTTGCAAGTATCTTCTCCCATTCAGTAGGTTGCCTTTTTGTTTTGTTGGTTTCTTTCACTGTGCAAAAGCTTTTTTTTTTTTTTTTGATGTAGTCCCAACAGTTTATTTTTGCTTTTGTTTCTCTTGCCTTAGGAGACATAACTAGGAAAACTTTTCTACAGCTGATGTCAGAGAAATTACTGCCTATGTTCTCTTGTAGGGTTTTTATGGTTTCAGGTTTCACACTTAGGGTCTTTAATCCATTTTGAGTTTATTTTGTGTGTGGTGTCAGAAAGTGGTCCAATTTCCTTCTCTTGCATGCAGCTGTTCAGTTTTCCCAGCACCATTTGTTGAAAAGACTGTCTTTTCCCCACTGTATATTCTTGCCTCCTTTTCCATACAAGCATGGGTTTATTTCTGGACTCTCTATTCTGTTCCATTGATTTATGTGTCTGTTTTTGTGCCAGTGCCATACTGTTTTGATGACTACAGCTTTGTAGTGTATCTTGAAACTTAGGACTGTGATCCCTCCAGCTTTGTCCTTCTCTCTCAAGACTGCTTTGTTATTCAGGTTCTTTTGTGGTTCCATACAAATGTTGGGATAATTTGTTCTAGTCCTGTGAAAAATGTTGGTATTTTGATAGGGATTGCATTACATCTGTCGATATTCGTATATATTGCAAAATGATCACCACATTAAGTCCAGTTAACATCAGTCACCATATATAGTTACAGAATATTTTTTTCTTATAATGAAAACTTTTAAAATATACTCTTAGCAACTTTTAAATACGCAATAAAGTATTATTAGCTATAGTTGCCATGGTGTACATTACATCCCATGACTTATTTATTTTCTGACTGGAAGTTTGTACCTTTTGACTCCCTTCACCCATTTCACCCACCCCCTTTCTCCCTGCCTCTGGCAACCACCAATCTGTTCTCTGTATATATAAACTTGGTTTTTTGTTTGTTTTTTAGATTTCACATAGAAGTGAGATAATATGGTATTAGTCTTTCTCTGACTTATTTCACTTAGCAGAATGCCCTCAAGGTCCATCCATGTTGTCACAAATGATAAGATTTCATTCTTTTTTATGGTTGAATAATATTCCATTGTGTATGTATACCTCATTTTTCTTTTTTTTTATTATGTTCAGTTAGCCACTGTATAGTACATAATTAGTTTTTGATGTAGTGTTCAATGATTCATTAGTTAAGTATGACACCCAGTGCTCATCACAGCATGTGCCCTCCTCAATGCCCATCACCCTGTTACCCCCTCCCCCCACCCTCCTCCCCTCTGAAACCCCCAAATTGTTTCTCAGTGTCCATAGTCTCTCATGGTTCATCTCCCTCTCTGATTTCTCCCTCTTTGGATTTCCTTCCCTTCCCCTATGGTCCTCTGTGCTATTGCTTATGTTTCACATATGAGTGAAACCATATGATAATTGTCTTCCTCTGCTTGACTTACTTCACTTAACATAATCCCCTCCAATTCCATCCATGTTGATGCAAATGGTGGGTATTCATCATTTCTGATGGCTGGCTAATATTCCATTGTGTATGCATACCTCATTTTTCTTTATTAATCCACTGATAGACACTTGGGTGTTGGGTGGGTTGTTTCCGTATCTTGCCTATTGTAAATAATGCTGCAATGAACATGGGGATGCATATATATCTTTTACAGTTACTGTTTTTGTTTCTTTGGATAAATACCCAGAAGTGGAATTGCTGGATAATATGGTAGTTCTATTTTTAAGTTTTGAGGAAACTCAATATTGTTTTCTGAAGTGGGTACACCAATTTACCTTATCACCTGTAGTGCACAAGGGTTCCTTTTTTCTTATCTTTGATAACAGCCATTCTAACAGGTATAAGGTGATATCACATTGTGGTTTTGATTTGCAATCGCCTATTGATTAGTGATTTCAAACATCTTTTTATGTAGTTGTTGGCAATCTGTATGTCTTCTTTGAGAAAAGTCTATTCAGATCATGTGCCCATTTTAAAAGTGGGTCATTTGTTGTTTTTGCTATTGAGTTGTGTGAGTTCTTTATATATTTTGGATGCTAACGCCTCATTAGATATACGATTTGCAAGTATTTTCTCCCTTTTAGTAGCTTGCATTTTCATTTTGTTGATTGTTTCCTTTGCTGTGCAGAAGCTTTCTAGTTTGATGTAGTCCCATTTGTTCATTTTTGCTTTTGTTGCCTTTGCTTTTGGTGTCAAATCCAAAAAAATCATTGCCAAGACCAGTGTCAAGGGGCTTACTGCCTACATTTTCTTCTAGAAGTTTCATGATTTCAGGTCTTACATTCAAGTCTTTAATCCATTTAGAGTTAATTTTTGTGTGTGGTGTAAAATAGTGGGCCAGTTGCATTCTTTTGCATGGGGCTGTGCAGTTTTCCCAACACCATTTGTTGAAGAGACTGACCTTTCTCCAATGTATATTCTTGGTTCCTTTGCAGTAAATTAATTAAACATATATGGCTGGGTGTATTTCTGGGCTCTCTATTTTGGCTCATTGATCTGTGTCTATTTTTTTTTTTAAGATTTTATTTATTTATTTGATAGAGAGAGACACAGCGAGAGAGGGAACACAAGCAGGGGGAGTGGGAGAGGGAGAAGCAGGCTTCCGCTGAGCAGGGAGCCCGACGTGGGGCTCGATCCCAGGACCCTAGGATCATGACCTGAGCCGAAGGCAGACGCTTAACGACTGAGCCACCCAGGCGCCCCTGATCTGTGTCTGTTTTTATGGTAATATGATACAGTCTTGATTACTATAGCTTTGTAATATGGTTCAAAACCAGGGCACATGATGCCTCCAGCTTTGTTCTTCTTTCTTAAGATTCCTTTGGCTATTTGGAGTCTTTTGTGGTTCCATACAAATTTTAGAATTGTCTTTTCTAGCTCTGTGAAAAATGCCACTGGAATTTTAATAGGGATTGCACTGAACCTGTAAATTGCTTTGGGTAGTATGGACATTTTAACAATATGAATTCTTCCAATCCTTGAGCACAGACTATCTTTCCATTTATTTGTGTATTCTTCCATTTATGTCTTATAGTTTTCAGTATACAGGTCTCTTACCTCTTTGGTTAAATTTACTCCTAGGTATTTTATTCTTTTTCATGCAGTTGTGACCACTTCTTAAAAGGCA